GAAGCAACTGAGAATAATTCTACTCTTTCTTCTGGGTAACAGCTCTTCAGGTATCTGAAGACTGCTATCTCCCTTCAGTCATCTTTTTCTGGAGGCTAAACATGTCAATACTTTTTAATGCTTCCCCACAGATGTTAGTTTCCATATCCATCACGAACTTGGCAGCCTCTTCTGAATTTGCTCCAATTTTTCATTGTCCTTTTTGAACAGGGGTGGCCAAAACTGGACACAAAACTCCAAATGGGACTGGTCAAAAGAACATTGATGGAACAATTTTTCCCGTGATAAGGATTCTATTCTCCTGTTAATGTGTTCCAAGAGTGCTTTAAAAAGTTTCATTGTATTGATGGCTCATGATTAACTTGTATCCAAGAAGGACACTCAGATATCTTCCACATGTATTGCTGCCAAACCTGGTCCTTACCATTCTAAGTTTATGACTTTCTTTTCTGCTACCCAGATGCAGAACTTTACATTTATTTGTATTTGATTCCATTATATTAATTTCAGCCTACTGTTCAAGGTTGTCTAGATCTTTCTTTTTTCAATCTTCTCTCATTCATCTGTAGTATTAGCTGTTCCCTCTGGTTTGATATCATCTCCAAATTTGAAACTGTCTTCTCAACTCCTTCATTCAAGTCATTGATAAAAATGTTATAACAGCATAGGGCTCAGGAAAGAATCCCATAGCATCACATTTGATATTTCCATTCAGGCTGAAGTAAATTCGTTAAATAACCTTGTTTTGGGCACATTTATTCAACCAACCATGAGTCGATTTAATTGACATATTAGTTAGCTCATATTTTACCATCTTATTGAAAATTTCATAAGCCATTGTGTAGTTCCAGATATACCGTACTGGTATTCCCCTAATTTATTAAGCTACTGTTAAAGAAACACAGTTTATCTAGCATGATTTGCTTGTGCCAAGCCCTTCTGACTTTGTTAATTGGATAATTATCCAAGTGCTCACAAACATGCTGCTTAGTAAACTGTATATTTTATGCTTCCTTTTACAGAGGCAAATCTAAGTAAGAAACTTAAGCAGAGAGTTCAGCCATCATGCCATCAAGTTCAGCCTGAGAAAACGCAATGCTGTTTAGTTTCTACCATAATACATAGTTTCTCTTCAAAACATTCCTATTTTTGTCCAAGTCATGAGTGATTTCCTTGTATGTTAAACAATATAGTTTCAGGCACTTGAGATACTTTATCTAATGAAGGTTGCAAACTCATTCATTATCAAATTGAAGAGATTTGTAAAAAAAAAATGGGGGAGTTGAATGGGAAAATCATTATAAATGAATAAATGAGCAGGCAACTAAATTTCATTTTTGATGTGCGCCGTTGTGCTCACAATAAAAAAATGACAATAAAGGTTATCTATTTATCTACTGTATATATTGCAAGTCAGAAAATGTTTATCGATTCCAAGAATCATCAATGTAATTAATCAGTGAAAGGGAAATTACTGCAGAAAACTGTCATTTTGGAACTGGATTTTTTTTCCTAAATAGAACAAAATGCACCACAGATCAAAAGACAACAAATTTAAACTATTCATAGAAGACAGTGGGAAACTATTAATGTCTGCCTATGTTCTTTAGGAACATACAAACTGAGGCACACAGTGACAATAGATGTTCTAGATACTGATAAATAAAAAACAGACAAATCATTTCCATGGAGATATCATTTAGTGCTCTTAAAAACTGAGACGGGAAAATGCTGAATTTCTGGAGATAAAAGTTATATTTCCTTAGCATTAGGCTCTCTGTCAAACAACTGGAAAGAAGATATGATTTCTTTCCTTGTTTATAGAATTTATATAGTGCCTCATCTCAATCTGATCACTCTGGGTGGCTCACAATACAAAATATAAAACTAGAAATAATGCTGTATAACAATATTACACCAAAGCCCTATAGTCTGGCTGTATAACAGTAGAATTATAACCCAATTAAAAGACACATATTTAACTCTGCAGAGCTTGAGGAAAAATCAGCTTTTTGGGAAGGCTACCATGGTTGGGACTGTCCAGATCCCAAAGAAATGCTATTCCATAGGCGAGGTGTTACAATAGAGATCATATGCTTCATGGGTTCCACTAGATGGCACTGCTTTAGAGAAGAGACCTAGAGAGTCTGCCCATCCTGGTGGTCTGCAAACAGACTGGCCCTGTGCTATATAAGGTTTTATAGATTACGACAGTACCTTTAACTGCACCCAGAATTTATTGTCTGGGAGACTCTTACCTCATTCAGAGTCAAAAACAGAAAATACAATTTTTTAAAATATAGAAGTGATCTAGAAAGCTGCTGAGTGATTAGCTTAACTTCTGTTCCAGATAAAATTAATAAGGTGGTATAAAATGATATTAGATGCTTTGCATTGTCTTGCCACTGTGTCCTTCCCCCAGGAGAAGGTATGCATCACCCTTATCTAGATGGTTTGCACTTGGAGCCAGAAGAAAATGAAAGCAAGAGAGACCTTGAAGAGTGTGCCAATGGAGCCAATTACCAAAATACTATGCCACCTGTGGATTGGCTGGAATTCAAATGGACCCTGGGGGGAGGAGTGATGATATTGCTTTTAATATACTGCTTGCGCGGGTTTTTCCCCAGACTTCGCCTTGTTTTCCCTGCTATCACTAGCCCCTAATAAAAGGTTTTTTGAGACAATGCTTGTTTCAAGAGTTCTGTTTTCTTGGGAGGCTTAGATGAGGTAGGTCCTTACACGCCTGCTATTTGTCTCCTGTTTAACATCTACATGAAGTTGCTAGGTTAGCTCATCTGTTGCCATGGGAGGAGGTATCATGAATACACTTGATGATACTCAATTACACATCTTTTCCTCTGGAGAGTTAACTAATGCTGTGGATGACTTATCTTGGTGGTTGGAGGCTATGAGGATCTGGATGAGGAATAACAAGTTTTAACTGAACCCTGTCCAGACTGAATGCCTATGGTTTTTTCGAGCCTGCTGATTTGTGGACAATACCATCACTGGTATATGATTGAATGTTTAAATATATTAAGGGTGTAAATAAGGACGGCAATATTTTCAATATTAAGCAAAACTCAAGAACACAGGAGCATAACCTCAACTGAGAGGAGGGAAATTCAAACTAATGTTAGAAAGTATTAGTTTACAGAAGGAGTAGTGGAAGTTTAGAACTAACTTCCAGTGGAGGTAGTGGGTCAATCATCAATAACTGAGTTTAAACATGCTTGGGATAAACGCATGCCCATCATCCAACAAAAGTTAAAAAATAATAAAATAAAATAAATAAAAAATAACAATAACAATAAAAATTAATTAAAAAGAAAACAAAAAAAATTCAAAGGGCAGATTTGATGGACCACTAGGTCTTTTTTTACCATCAGTTTCTATGCTTTTGTGGTACTGGATGGAGTTGCATTGCCCTAAATATACTCAGCGCATATCTCGGTGGTCTTCCTAGACTAGTAACTTTTGCTTGGGCATGTGGCCATCGTGGCTAGGAAGGCCTTTGCACAACTTTGTGTTGTGTGCCAGTCAAGCAGATGAAAGGTCTGGAATAAATCTTCAAAAAGGAAATGTTACATATTTGGGATTTTATTATTTACTTTAGCATATAACTAAGCATGGTCATATTGTAAATAGATATTAAATGGATTATGAAACTAGGGTTTTGGTATAGATAGAAGAATGTTTGTCAAACTGATTTGTTTAACTATAAAATTAATCACGAAGTATAGCAAGATTCACTAATCCGGATAGCATTAAAGGGATTAAGGAAACTTCATGTAGAATAAAATTATCAATACTTGTCATAATTCAGTATAAATACGTTACTTTCAGTGCCTGAGGCAGAAAGCCCCTCAATGGATTATGTTGGGGAGAATAAACGGCAAATGCTACTGCATCTCTGTGCTCCTTAGGATTCTCACTGGCATGTGGTTGGCTACATATGAACAAGACTCTGAACTGGACTTTTGGCCTGATTTAGATCTGAACTGGACTTTTGGCCTGATTTAGATGGCTGTTTTGGATTCTAATTCTGTACTGGTTCTCCCTCAGGCACATAGCTGTGAAGATTAAACAGTGTTCATTTATGTAATGCCCTTAGCAATAGGTCCATAGTTCTTGTTTTGCTCACTCAGTGACCATTGGAAAAAGAGATGCCAATGAGGAAGACATCATAATATTCTCATTCTTCTAGTACCTAGGAAGTGGTTTTGGGAGACATAATCTTGCAAATGCTGGCTACAGAAAAAGAAATATATAATTAAAATTCTAAATGTAACCAACTACAGGTAGTCCTCGACTAACAACCTTTCATTTAGTGACCATTCAAAATTATAATGGCACTGAAAAAATGACTTATGATTGGTTCTCAACACATACAATCATTGAAGCATCCCCACAGTCACGTGATCAGAATTCAGTTGCTTGGCAACCAGCATATATTTACAATAGTTGCAGCATCCCAGGGTCATGTGATCACCATTTGTGACCTTCCCAGCCAACTTCTGACAAGCAAAATAAATGAGGAAAGCCAGATTCGCTTAATGACCATACGATTCACTAAACAACTGCAGTGATTTGCTTAACAACCGTAGCAAAAAGGTCATAAATTGGGGAATGACTCACTTAAGATCTGGCTTGCTTAGCAACATAAATTTTGGGCCCAGTTGTGGTCGAGGACTACCTGTAATAAATTAGAGTCAAGTCCTAAGATAATATGAATATTTGAAACAGAACTAATCGTCTCAAATTGATAATCAGTATTGGAAGGTTCATTAAACCAACTGCTGAAGCTTCAGTATGCTCAAATCTTAATTATACTTTTCTTCTAAAAACCCTAAAGCTTAATTCATTTTTAGACCTCTCCCGAACACAAGCACCATGTATATCAAAGGGGGGGGGGAAGACTCAGAGAACACCACCTGACCAACAAGAAAGCAATCAAACCGAACAGAACAAATCATATTTAAATGAAGATATATACTCACACTATATGGGCAAGGTCAAGGGGCTTCTCTGGCTGTTCCGGATATACAGGGTGAGGAGGATCTCTAGTGGGTACACAACCAAGAGATTTACTAATGGCATGGCTCAGCTTCTTGGCAGGCGATTTCTGTTTTTTTTTTTTTAGAAAGAATTAAACATAGAGACTAGTATTAACATAGCAGATCAATCTGTGCAGCAAACTAGATAAGAGCTGCAATTGAACCTCAAAAGAAACAACTCTCAGTGCTCAAACCATAGCCATAGCCTTGGAGACACAACTGGGTTCCCTAAAAGAGGTCCATAGCTTATGCTCTCTCCTCAACATTATAGCCTTGTGAATAGTATACTGCCCACAGAACAAGAATTTGTAGCCTGTGATTACTTTGCAGGATAAACAGAAGATTACCTCCCTCTCTCCTTTCTTATTTCTCATGTCCAAATTTGCTTACCAATACCTTGCACTAGAGTCTTTCTTGAGAAATGGGACATGTCTGAGAGGGATTTACTTATTATTTATTGTAATTGCTTTATATGGCTGCCCACCTCACAACTTCAGCAACTCTGGGTGGCAAAGATACTTAAAAAAAATAGAAAAACAGTAACAATAAATATACATCTAGTCGCAGCTGAGGACAACAGTAGTCACAACAATAGCACTTGCATCACAGGCCTCATTAACCTCCTGACACCCACATCCCAGGAAAACAGACATATTTTTAAAGATTTCCAGATCTCAGGGCATTGGTGTTCCAGAAGTCAGGAAAGGGGATGGTTAACCTGGACAGCAGGTGGTAATATAGTATTTCCAGCACAATTAATACAGCTGGCAGATTCTCTTCTGCTAATGAACAGAAACTAGTTTAACTTTCTGTCTGATCTTCTGCCATGCAGGATAATCAGCCCCTCTATATTGCAAACAAGGTAAATTATTTTCAAGGACTAACATGGAGAAGTAGTGTGCTCTTAACTTTGAAGAGTGGAACATAATCAGGAAAGCCAGTATTTTGTTTCCACAGATTCATTTTAGCAACGTAATTAAGAAGTCAATTTTCTTTTCTGACTGAAAAAGTACTTTCTGGAAAAAGGAGAAACCAGAAATGCATGCAGTGACACATGGAATCATTGTACAAAATATGATAAACCACCTTTCTTTTAAAAAATAGTTATTCTTGTCTCAGTGTGAAAGATCATTGAGTTCAGAAGTATAAATCTACAGTACTGTACTCAATTCTAAGGCAATGTTTAGGATTTAAGAATATGTGAATATTTTATAAGGATAAGACAGGAAAATGGAGCTTAAATATACCACAGCAAGATATGCTATAATGTAAAAGTGTCTTTAACAGATTTGTATACATTCTTTCCTCACTGAAACAAATTGATGGATTTCCACTCATTCCTTTAAAAAAGAGAGAAGTGGACACTTTAAGCATTTATATAGTTTCTACTTGCAATATTTCTTCAAACTGTTAGCATAAATACAACACATAAAACGGCTTTCATATTAGTGGAAGGGGTGCAGAATAAACCCTGTCAACATGCAGTATAAAATATGGCAACATGAACTGGCTGATACTATGCCATTAATGCCAATTAATGGCATAGTATCTGGTCCACTATGCTGGATTTGCCAGTCTCTAGACTATTTTCAAAAACAACATTGTGTAATAACCTGCAACAATTAAAACAGAAAGGAGATACACTTGAATGAATATAACCCAGCTAGAGGTGGTATATCAGCATAAAGTCTTTTTATAAGTGGGGAAATGGGAGATGCTGGCTGGGGAATTCCAGCAGTTGAAGTCCACATATCTTGAATTTGCCAAAAATCTTTTTTAAAAACCTTGTTTAAAACATACTACAGAAATCTTACTACTTGTAGAGAAATAAACTAACATAGATGAAACCAAAAGGCAATAGATGTTTTACCCTGGATAACCAGCAGAGATCTGTTAATTAATCCGTGTATCTTTTGAGTCTGAAAAGCACTTTGATTAAAAAAATATACACAATCACATTCTGGCTAATTTCTCTAGTCTATGTACTTTTTAAAGCCAATTTGAAGGTCTTTGCAACGGACAATGTTAGCAATATCAACATGTTTGTTCAAGATGTTTAACAAATCAGCTCTATCGTGTATACCACAATGTCTTAATTTTGCTGATGTTCTTTTAAAAAGAAATCTGCATTTCTTCTACTCAAAAGTTTTATAAAAAAATGAACACTTTGAGACTCTAATGTCATAACAATAACTGATGGTGGTTGTTTCTGCCACTTGTTAAAACAGGATTTCATATGTGAACTACAGAAATCAGGTTAACTCCCTTATTTTTTGTTTGAAAATATATTTGCCACTAACTGCCTTTTATATTTGTTGTATTTGACATTAGTTGTATTTACACTTGTCTTCAGAATTTTCATATAATGTTCATTTTGAAATTATATTCAATTCCAGTGTTACATTTGAACTACTGAACTGCACAATCAGGTTCTCACCATTTATTTATTTATGGAAAGTATTTTTATCGCACTATTTAGTGCTCTCAGGATCTCCAACAGAATGGAAAGAAAGAAAAAAGCAAATTCTTAAAGTTACTTTCATATCATGACCTGTTAAACTAAAGATATTCAAGTCATGTAACAGAATAACTGCTTACGGTGTACTATATTACATTTGTAACTAAGGTGAAAACAATTTATCTCTCATTTGATTTTAAATAAAAATAGATATTAAAAAGAGTTCATATGATAAATGATATATGATAAATATGATAAATCAGATATATCTGAAGAGCAAGACTTAGTTGGAATATTTCAATTTTGCATCACATACCAACAAATTTTAAACTATAAATGGCCATAGAAATAATGCTGAAAACACTTTGCCTTTTTCTTGCATACATAAATTCAGGCACGCCTAAAATATTTCATAGTAAGCACAAGAAAGCTTAAAGTATTAATGACCAGAGTTCTGCCATTGTATGAGCATAGAAAGCTTTGTCTCACCTAATTACAAAGGGAAGTGGACATTCTGGATCATAGCCCAAGTAGTTATTTATTATGTGGTGAAATATTTAGAACATACAGGGAAAATAAGTGACTACTGGATAGGCATTATGTTGTAATTCTACTTATACCAGTAAGTGCACTGAAATGAAATAAAGTCCATTTAACTTTAAACAAGAGAACATGTAATTGCCAGGCCAATCTATATACAAGAAGTCATTATAAGAAGGAAATTATTTTTCATAGCCAATAACCAGAGTTGTTTATGCAATATAGCAACCATTGCTCATGGCTATGATTATGAATGCACATCATCCTTACTATGGATAAATCCACATATACACATGCAAACACAAATGCGTATAACAATATCTGTCAAAGTTGACAAACTACAGCAACAAGAACTGCTTTGATTTCTGAAAAGTCCATTACTGTATTGTTAGTAGGGTAATACAACAGAATATAGAAAGCTTATTAAAATAATTCTTTTACATAACCTAATGAAATTAAGGTAAAGTTACTTTGAGTCTTTTTCTTATATATTCTCCTTCTCTTTCTTCTGTGCTGGCCATGTTTTCTCCCTTAATTGTCTTGCTGCCCTCCCTATTAGTACTGTATGATTCATTTAACCCTAGAAGGAAAATGCCCCCTTAATATTAAGATCCTGATAATATAATCAGGATGGTTAATAAAGTAGAATTAGCACAACTATCAATTGATGCTTCCAGATACAGTTCAAACAGCTTAGCCAGAAAAGAAGGTAATGTTTAGTAGCAAAAGCCATTGAGCAATCCAAGAAAATTAACAGTATGTTTCTCAGTTACCTGCCATCTCTCTGCAAAAATCATATAACAATTTGTATAATTAAATATAGATCTGAAGCCTAAATGAAATGGATCACAAAACTCAGCTTTTACTATGAATAACTGAATCCATCACCTGGCATTCTCTCAAATCCTTTGCCGAGAAAATACTGACCATCAGCATATTGTTGAACTCATTTTTTCAGATCCAGGTTAAGCTATTTTTACTAACAGTTTTATGAGGAAGGTATCTCACTTGCCAGTAAGTAATTTTATTAAATAAACAGAAAATTCAGTCTCTCCAGAGGCATTTATAGCCTCCCAACCATTCCCTGCCAGCTTCAAAAGTCATTGATGCCGAAGAAAATATTTTCTCTCTTAAAATGCTGAATTAATTCTACTAGACAAATCCATGGAACATGCATTAGAGAAGGTTGTCATTAAAGTGTAATAAATCATCAGTCATCTCTTCCAATGAAACTTCTGCACAACTAGGATGGAAATAGTGAAGGGGTAGATTGGGATTTGGAGAAAGAGGCTGAGCATCCCACTGTAAACATACTCCTGGTCAGACTAAGGTAGTGCACAGATAATCCTAAAATATAGTATGTATAAAAATATACCATTTTATAAATTTCCCAAATTAACTATTGAACACTATATTCAATGTTATGTCTATAAAATGCAGCCTTTATTCCCCAAATTAGTTATTTATAAATTCCCTAAATTAAATTCTTTTTTCTTTTTACAATCCTATGATCCCTTTTTCGAGGTGGAGTTAGGGCGACTGAATGGAGCTGAGTGTTTACTGGCCATATGCCCTTCCTGATGCCTATACGGAGTTCGAAGTAGATATTTTTTCTTTGCGCCCTGATAAAGATCTGCCATTGGCTAGGACTGAATTCTCAACTTTCTGAATAGGAAATGAACGTCTTCACCTCTAGGTCATTGCGCCGCTCCATAAATTCCCTAAATTGACTATTGGGCATAAAATTATCTAGCTCTATTAATTATGGTAAAATTATTGATAATAATGCTCAAAAGGTTAAATTAGCTTCCTATTATAAAACTTTTTTGAGATGTTCCCTTCCTTAATTTCCTTAATGCAGTAATACTCTCTAATAGGATTATAATTTAACTGCTCCAAAGCAAACACAAGGTCTAATTTATGACAATAGGATGTGATGGGTTACATATTACATGTGCTAAGACTATACTTGCTACAACAGCTATGAATTCTTAAGTTTTCTCTGACCAGGGCCCAAGGCATGGAGACTGAAATCATCCAGCATCATAAGGCAAGGAGACACCAGCCCAGAGACCGGATCTAGGAACCAGAGCGGGATCCAGCTGAGCAGCAAAGCAACCAAAAGATAACCAGCTTGTTCCTATAGCCAAACCTAACATACCTGTCACCTTAGAAGCCATCCCTGGTCACAAGTGTTATAGCATACTAATAAAAAGACCCATCCTTATCTATGTTATAGAAACAACTCAGACAAGTAGCCTCTAAATAGACCATAAAGGCAACCTGTTCAGAGTGCATCAGAATTGTAATTCCGCACACATTTTTACTGCATTGTTCAAGCCTCAGGGAAGTTGTGGGGCTTTCTATTTTAATCAAAGGACCAATGGGACTAAAAAGTATGTTGTTTGGTCTGTCCATCATTTTCTCCATTATGGCTGCAGATTGTGGAATGTTTCTTGCTTTGTCGCTCATGTACTAGAAAGGCACCAGACCTGCCACTAGAGAAAAGAGTACATTAGAGAGTGATTACCCAAGAGGAATGCTCTTTCATCTGATGCTGGTTGCTGTGAGGGCCATTTGCATGGCCACGCCAAAAACAGTTTTGACAGAGCTGATAGTTGTGGCACTGCTGGCATCGGTATCGGAAGCCCATCATGCTCTCACACCGGCAGTAAGAACATTCCACAGGATGGAAGACTTGAAGGAGATAAAAGAAAAAAAAGAAATAGTAAGAACTGTGTCAGGAAAAGCAGGTCTCTTCATCCTAAGCTGGATAAAAGGCCCTCAATAAGTCTAGTGCTCAGAGAATTCTACATACTGTACTTTAAATAGGAGTCATATATTGTCTACAATCTTCTAGTTCTCGCCTTCCTCTTTTCTGGTTTTAGATAATAAGTCAAACCATAACACACGTACACTGAAATACTACCAAGTGAAGAGTTTAATAGCTATGAAATATTGGACAGAGACTAAGGTACACTGACCACTCTCTAAGCTTATCGGAGGAAAGGAACAAGGCCAATCCAAGTTTTGAATGGAGGGAGGGGATCCTCCAGCTCATATCTCCTATGCCTTTAATTGCTACACTGTAGTGAGCCCTCCTAAAAATAATAACCAAATTTGACTTAGAAAATCAAGAGGGGAATTATGAGAATTAATCTTACTGCAGATCAAGAAAGATAATATTTAAATGAACTTGTCCGTGTCACCATTACTAAGGAAGGCATCAGATACAAGAATGGGTCATTTAAAGCATAGTTTGTACCCTATAGAAGATTTAAAAAGAAATTAGACAAATTCATGGAATGTAAAGTTATAATTAGCTAACACCAATGAGAGCTGCACGCTACTTCCAAGACTATAAGCAGTATGCTGTTGCCTATCAGTTGTCGAGGAGAATAAGTCAGCTCATAGTTTATATTTCAGCTTCTCAGAAATAATGACTAGATATTGAGAAGTAGAATGCTGGATTAGATTGGGCCTAGATTTGATTCAACAAGAGTTTTTTTTATTTCTTACTAAAGCAAAACTCAATAATGAATGCTAGAGAAGACTTAAATATTGAGATTCCATATGAATAAGTTCAGCGAATGATCAGACACGCATATCATTCCATTGCGCATTCCATGTTTGCCAGGTTGCAATACATAATTCAGTGAACTTTGGAAACACAAACCTCATATATGTAAAGAACAATTCAGGAGTATATGCCACATACCATTTTCAACATGGGCAAGTCTATGCATCAGAGGTAGCCACACAAGGCACTGGGGTGGAGGGTCAGCCATTAAGGTGTCTAAAAACATGTTTAACATTACTTTTTTCTGCAAAATAAACAAACAAACAAAAGTTCAGAAGAAAGCCAAGCAGAATTACACTAATAAGTGAGTAAAAAAAACTTTACCCAGTACAGAAGAATACTTGTAATAAACCATAAAGCACACAATACAGCTGAATTAAGGTTATGTGTTTTTGAGTTTTATGGGAAAGTTAAATACATTGCTAAACACATCCTTCTCTCACCAAGCTCCACTAATTTAAAAATAAAGAATTTCTGATTTAATTTTGTTTTTTTACTAGATAGGCTTTTAGTCTCAATATACTAACATTTATTTTCTTGTTACAGTTACAATAAATCTATAAAATAGGTTATTTGCATTATAATTTAATTAGAAGGCAAAGCGACACTATCGTCCTCTATGTGCTTCTGTAAAATAAATTTTAGAAATGTGTGTTTATTTTAGGAAGAATGAACGAATGAATGAATATACTCACCCTACAGACCAGGGAGCTTTTGTTTTTTTCTAGAAAACTAAAAAAGGAATTAGTCTTTCATAGACTCCTCTTTTGAGATTAATTTGGAGGACACTGAATATAAGTCAGCATTTAAAGCCCTGTGTATTTTCTCACATGAAGCTTACCTGCTGAGGAAAACATGTTCGCACAGAGTTTTCTGTGTATCCAAACGAAGGCCCTTCAAAAACAGCTGTAGGAAGTTTCAGAACTTCTCTTAGAAACTGGTCAAATTTTGAAAATATCATCAATCCATTGGAATCTGACATTTGAGAAAAACTATCTAAAATACAAATCAAAGGCAAATATGAAAATGTGGCAAATATGAAAATATGTTACAAAAATATTTAATATTTAAACTCTAGCACTGAGCAGGCAGTTCATTTGTTGTAAAATCTTACTATTTTGCAAATAAGTATATTCCCTTAATAAAAGAAAAAAGTAAAGGATAATAATAATAGCAGTTGTGATGGCACAGTGGTTAGAATGCAGTATTGCAGGCTAACTCTGCTCACTGCCAGGAGTTTGATCCTGACTGGATCAAGGTTGATTCAACCTTCCATCCTTCCGAGGTCAGTAAAATGAGGACCCAGATTGTTGGGGGCAATATGCTGACTCTGTAAAATGCTTAGAAAGGAGTGTAAAGCACTATAAAGCGGTATGTAAGTCTAAGTGCTATTACTATTGCTATAATGTTATATAATCTCATTCTCTCCCACAGCAAAAAAGCGATGACGAAAGTAAGCATTTTAAATGTCACAAAGTTGGTGCTTGACCATAAAATTTTAATAATAGATTATTAGCTCAAAATGTTCAAAATACTCACATCTTAACTTATCCAGAATTTTTCCACCACACATAGTTGCCAACATTGCCTTTACGGAAAATACTGTCAATTTCCCATGACCTTCACTGTAAAAGATAAACCATACTTACTACATAAGAAATTTTAAATTACTGCTGGAGTAAGAAAGCATGTGATTTATGGACACCTACCATTTTATTCAACATGTAACAATATTCATCCAAAAAGTTACTTTTCTGCTAGGAAAAAAAGTATTATGGGGAAAGAAATCTAACTGAACTGAAGAGGAATCCGGATCATCTATTATACAACACAGTTTCTGGGATTGTTAATAAAGGCCAGATGCCTAAAATGCACATATGCTCTATCTGAAAAAAGAATTCTGCTTTTACAATAATTTTTATGGGATTTTAATTCTACAGAGTTTTTTGTGTTAGTTCTGTGGTAGATTCTGTTTGTAGTTCTCAACTGCCCCAGTATCCCAAGCTATATACACAGTTTCACTTAGCTGGATGTGTGTAGATTTGGGAAGCTATCAGTTGCCTCACCAATATTGTCATTTTCTATATCAGTATCTCTATCAAAAGAGCACATGTGCAATCAGTGACAATTTAAATATTATAAGCATGGTACTTCTTATATCTCTGATAAACCAAGAGACTATAGATGAGATCTTAGTATGTAAGAGTTGTAATAGTATGTTCAGATTGTTATACATCATATTAACAAAAAAGCTTATAAGAAGTTTTTGGATAAGTCTGTTTTCATATTCTGATGGGCTTATTCAGTAGTTATTTATGGCTAAAACAAACTGACCAAATGTGATGGCTCAATCCAACCAATCTCTTTTGCTTCTCCCTTCTTTCTTGAATTAAATATAGCTGCTAAATTTTGAAGCATTAGCTTCCATTCCTCACCCTGCAAATGAATCCTTTCAAATAATTCCCAGTCAATAAATTCCTATTCTGCTTCATACTAACTACAAATTTATTTTAAGCAAGTTTGCTTTGTAAATAAACTGGTTTTTACTTCCTTCAGTTGTTCACAGCTTGGCACAGATCTGTTCTCTTTTATCATCTGGAAGCTAGAGCAACAAGTGAAAATTCAAAAGTCTGTCTGCAAACTGGCATTTGCAGACTAGGAACAAAGATCAGGAAAAAAGTATAATTTCCTGGCATTTTTAACCCAGGTTTCAAAACAGATGCTTACAATAATATTTCTTAGGGAAGTGAGGATATTTAATTTTCCTTTTAAAAAAACCATATAACTTCTACAGAACAATGCCATTTGCTCTACTAAGTCTTCTCCCTTATGTGGGAGGAAAGATTGCCAGCTGCTCAGTGAAAAAAGAAAGGCACCCTCATCAGGCAATGACTAATAGGAAAAAAAGTTTTGGCTACCAAGTACATACATAATTTGATATCTTAAATAGAAGGCATCTGAATAAAGAAAGCATAGTATTTACTATAGTTTACAGTCAAGGAAAAGCAAAGCAGTTACCACTCCCACTATTACAATCTAAAAGACACACAAGGGAAAAGAAAAAAGAAAAATACAGGTGATCCTTGCTTAATGACCACTTGTTCAATGACCAAATTTACAATGGGGTTGACCGAGTAGTACTTATGACCAGTTCTTGAAGTTCTGGCTGTTGCAGCATCCCAGAGGTCACTTGATCACCATCTGCAACCTTTTTTGCCAGCTTCTCACAAGCAAAATCAATGGGGAAGCCAGAAGCTCACAAATATTGACCACATGATGTCCTCATTTAAGGATGGCTCAGTTGCTGTTTAGTTCAGCAACTAGGAAGTGCTGCAACTGCTGTCACTAAGCAACACAGTTATGTGACCATATCACTTAGCAGCAGAAATTTTGTCCCAACTACTGTTGTTAACCGAGGACTACCTATAAGAAAATTCTTGTCTTAAAAACTTTGATTTTGACTATTGACTATTCAACTAATTCAACAAACCATAGCTAGAAAAGCTAAGATTGCCTCTACTGACCCAGGCTCCAACTTGGGTGCTATAGACCTCAGGGTAACTCCAACCTACATAGTTGTTGGTCAGAAGAAACATAGATTGCTTCAAAAACAAAACCACTTGCCTATCATATGCTGCTATCATGAAGTTGAGGAGAAGGCTGATGGATTGCTCCACACTGATCTGGTGAGTAGATGGAAGGCGTTTATTCAGTTGATAGTAAATGGAGGAAATGATAGTTTCTAGTCGAGATACATTGATCTCTGTATTATGGTCCAATGTGTTAAGGCCATTATCTCTGAAGGCTTCAATCATATTCCAGATATCCACAAGATGTACTGGAAAAACAAAAATATTACAAATATTACACAAAAATAATTATAAGGTTTCTATATTGCTTCAATCCATGGACTCTAAGCAGTAAATAATTAAGGGATTATACAATATGTACAACAATCAAAAGCAAGAATAATAACATTAAACAATGAACAAAATTTCTGGTTCCATGTCTGGCTAAGACCAAAATCGAATTCCAAAAGTCATCTAGAAAAGCTACATCTTAACAAGTTTCTGAATAACCATGAGCATGGGGGTTACTTTCACCTGAGGGGGAGCTCACTGAAAAATGTTCAGCTCCATGTAATTTTGCTGCCACACCTTACAATAAGTGGAAAATTTCCTGTATTTGTACTAGGCAAGCAAATTCTACGCAGAATAGGCACTCAAAAATATATAAGCCCCAAGTGATATAAGTATTATAGGTAAAATCAGAATCAAGTAAGAAAGGAATCAAGAAAGAGAGAAAGAGAGAGAGAAAGAAAGAAAGAAAGAAAGAAAGGAAGGAAGGAAGGAAGGAAGGAAGGAAGGAAGGAAGGAAGGAAGGAAGGAAGGAAGGAAGGAAGGAAGGAAGTAGGTAGGTAAGTAGGTGGGGTGGGGTATATCTGCCTTGGTAATAAAATGTGTGAAAAGGATCTCAGAGTTATAGCTGAACTAGCAGTGTGACTTAACTACTGTATCAAAAAGACAAAATGAGACTTTTTGATGCCTCAATAGAAGTATAGTTTCTAATTCACAGAAAGTAATATTACTATTATATTCTGCATTGGTCTGAGGCTACCTAATGTAGTTATCCACTTCTGAGCACCACTATTTCAGGAAGATGCAAAGAAACTGGATAGGAGAATAGGAGAATCATAGAGTGGAAACTTACAAGAAATGGAAAGAACTGGAAATGTCTAGCCTCGGGGGGAGGGAGATACAGGAGGGTCATACATATGGTCAAGGTCTATCCCAAACATTATTTCATGGAATAATAAATTAACTAGGGATAGTAAGCTGTTGGACTGGAGCAACCTATATGCCTCAGTAAACTGATTAATTTAAAATAAAAAGACTCAACTACCAAACATTCTGTTCCCTCTCTGATCTACTATACTAGATAATTTAGTGACTTCCAGAAGCAAATCCTAGAAATCAGAAGCAATTTGAAGTTTCCCAGACATGATGTTCCAGAATGGCATGGTCCAGAAGAAAGTTCTCCAGAATATTCCACTATCAAATCAGTAAATTTTGCACGTTCCTGGGTTTAAATTACAAGAAGACAGTTTCTGGCTGAATGTTAGGAAAAAGCATGCTCACTATAAAAACAGCTTGACAGTGGTGCCAATTATCCAGGGCGGTGATGGTTCCTTTTCACATGTTCAAGCAGAGGCCAGACAACCATCTGTTAAAGATGCTTTAATAATTAACTCCTGCTGTAAGCCAGAAGTTGGACTCCAGGGCTAAACAGCGTCTTATATTTCTATGATTTTATAGCTACTTATAGATACACCCTTTGTTACAATCCTAGCTATATATTTAAAAAAGAAATTATTCTATAAAAGAATGTTGTAATAATAAAAATTGCAGAGATTTCCTTCACAAAAATAACTTATATTTACCTATTAACTTCTTAAACTAAGCATTCTAAAATTCACGGTGCCATGACCCTTAGAATTTTGTGACTTCATGAATGAAACTGTCAGGCTGTGCTCCAAAAGCTAATAATTAACCTTAGAAAACATTTTGTTTGTTTGTTTCAGTGAACACAATCATGTTGGCTATGCCAACATGAGTTCTCCATTGTGAGAAGTTTTACCCCCATATTATTACTCTGATACCATCATCCACAATTTCTTGATGCTATATTACTATGTATTCATTAATACACCCTCTTCTTCCAACATTATTTTTAACATGTAACAGGAATTTGCTGTGTACCACATAATGCAATTATCATTCACACATACTTCCTCCTAGCATATTCTCCCTGCCCCGCCTTTCACCATATCTTCAAAATTGTACATTGCACATTCGGCTTTAGGTCTTTTGAGAACTACTAGACTACACAATCCTCATTGAATACTATCTTCTATTTCATGAATGGCAAAACTTTCTCCAGTGACACAGGACTTACCGTTAATAAGACACATTTGTTTTCAAGTACATAAACATTGAGGATTTTCTCTAACTTCCACATCACCATCATTTGATAGCAGTCAATGTGGAACATATAAAAAATCCTTTAAATTGCATATGAAAGATTTAGGATATCTACACTGACCAAGATGGAAGTATCTTTTCCCCTCTTTGTTACACTTGCATTTTTCAGTGCCTGATAATCAAGTCAAGATGAGGTGAACAGAAGCAAGTGATAAGTTAGGACAATATTTCTAAATTCTGATTGCTGTGAACAGCGTATAAAAGAAATGAACCCCAGATCTTTTGTCAAATTCTGTAAATAGCACAGATGAAATTTAAAACTATTACTCATATACTTTCTTTTCACTTTCACCTGTCTAGATTCAGCAGCTAGAATAGACATTTCCCCCCTCCACCTTCCCTCCCGTTTTTTTGAAAAAAGAAAACTGTACAGGCATGAACCATGGTGGCGCAGTAGTTAGAATGCAGTGTTGCAGGCTACTTCCGCTAACTGCTGATTGCCAGCAGTTCGGCAGTTCGATCCTGACCGGCTGGAGGTCAACTCAGTCTTCCATCCTTATGAAGTCAGTAAAATGAGGAACCAGATTGTTGGGGGGCAATATGCTGACTGTGTAAATTGCTTAGAGAGGGCTGTAAAGCACTGTGAAGCGGTATATAAGTCTAAGTGCTATTGCTATTCTTTGGGTTATAATGACATTGGGACATTGCCCTCGCTAAGTGCTACGGTCATAAAGTGCAATGCCATATGACCACATTGCTTAGGGATGGCAATCCCAGCAGTCCTGGTTGTCATCAAAATCATGAGATACATAGACTGGTAAGCAGGAAGGGCGGGGATCCCAAGAAAGGAGTAAGGGAGTGTTGTGGAGGGATGGGGGCCAGTATAGGCCTTGGGAGGGCTAGCGCAAGTCACATATGAGTCAAGAGAAGGTGAGAGTCACTTGGGAGGCCCAATGTAGGCCATGAATGAATTGAGAGAGGTTGGGAAGGATTCTGGAGGCCTGGTGCAGGTCATGTGAGTTAGAGGAGGGCCTAGATGGGGCCGATGGAGGCTGCATGTGGATGGAGGCTACTACGGGTAAGGCCGACTTACTGGAGCAACTTATGACCTTCCCTGCCAGCTTTCCCACTGATCTTGCTTATCAAATGGTGACCACATGACCATAGTCCCTGCAATGTTGTAATCACAAGCTGCTGACCTGAGCACCCAGATTGTGGCTGCAGGGGTGCTGCAAGGGCCAGAACTTTGGGGACTAATCATATACCTATTTTTTAAAAAGCATAGTTGTAATTTTGAACGGTTGCTGAACAAATAAACATAAACCAAGGACTGACTGTACTGCAACGCATTCCCAGCGCTGCATATCGCCCGAGTTTTCATTTCTCAGCCTGACCCTAGTGATCATGACTGCTGAAAACCAAAGGCATAATTTCTTAGCATTCTGAAAGGGAACACCTAAGCAATATGTTAGTCCTAAAATAGACACTTTCATTAACCACCCCTTCAGCTACTCCAAAAATGTAAACCTGCCTACATGTGAGGAGTTTCCACTTATTTTCTGGAGGTCTCCCCCAAAATGAATGCAGCTTGTAGCCTATTTAATTTAGGTGTGGCTCACAACATAATAAAATATGAAAACACAATACAAAAACAAAACAATATGGTAACTGGTCACTGTATACAAAACAGATACACATATACATTAAAAAACACATCCTGCAGAGTGCTCCATCCATTTTATCCCAAGGCCTAGGAGAACAGCCTTACAAAATGCCAATATGTTAGGATTTCAAGAGGGAAATTTACAACCTCTATCTATTAAAGAATACAATAGGTTAAGAAAGCATTTCTGAAGTACTGGATGTTTACAACATGCTAGAAATAGGAAAATAGGGAAATCAGTAGTTTATAGTCCAGGTCCATCATACTGTAGAAATTCAGCTTGTTTATCCATTGGCTGAACCAAGCCATCATGTTAAGCTATTATATATTTATTGCACTCACTGAGGATTTGATGGAGGGGAGTTTTTAATGATATGGGGTGCATGTGATGTAGGAAAGCCAGGCAAGAGGCTGTGGGGTGCCTGCAAGCCAAGGGAGGCCTGGGAGCGGGATGGGGGGTGCATGCAAAAGCAGGGAGACTGAAGAAGGAAAGTGTGGGGTGTATGCAAGCATAGAGAAGCCTGAGAAGAAGGTGTGAGGTGTGTGTAAGTGCAGAAAGGTCAGGGAAGAAGGGTGCAGGGTGTGTACAACATAGGAAGACCTAGAAAGGAGGGAGTAGGATACATGTGAGCTTAGGAAGGCTGGGAAGGAGATTGCTAGTAGGTATGTGTGAGTGCAGGAAAGCCCAAGGTAGGAGGGTGCAACATGGTGTGCAGGAAGGGTAGGGAACTTAACAAGCAACTTGCAACCTTCCCCGCCATCTTCCCCATTCATTCTGCTTGTAGGAAGCTAGCAGGAAAGGTGCTGCAACTGTTGGAAGTATGAGCACCTGAACTGTGATCAGGTGACTGCAGGAGCACCGCAATGGCTAGAACTTCAAGGGCTTGTCATAAGTATACTTGTTCAGTGCCATCACAACTTCAAACAGTCATTGAACAAGTGGTCAATAAGGACTACCTGTATATAGGTCAGGGCTTTTCAACCAGTGGTACGGGTACCACTTATGGTACATTGGAACCTGACAGGTGCTACACAACCATTCTAGAAAAGTGGTAGTGGGGGAGGGGAATGAGTGAGAGATGGCTGGAGCTTCAGGGCTGTCAGGGCTCAGCGGAAGTGCCAGGATCCGTGCCAGGCTCCAGCTGGAGTTCGGTGCTGATCCTGGCGCTTCTGCTGAGCCCAGAAGAAGCACTGATCAGCTGGAATGTTGCAGCATCTCCAGGGTCTTGTGATTTACATTCAGATGCTTGGCAATTGATTCACATTTATGATGTCACAATGTCCCAGGGTCATGTGAAGTAACCAAAACCTGCTGCAACTACCCAGCAGACGGGGGGAATAAAAACCAAACACCTCCCACCCCACTCCCACTGCCAATCCTCAACAGAAATGCTCACAACAATGAAAACCTCGGAAAGGAGGAAGAGCGCCACCGGTGGGCAGGCAGGTGTCTTGATTGGCTGTGGCTTGGGGGGCACTTTTTTCAATGCCACTGTAACTTCGAACAGTCACTAAGCGAACTGTTGTAAGTCGAGGACTACCTGTACTTCATGACTTTTTTCCTTTTGGAGGGGTCATCAAGTTTTTGACACCTTGCTAGGTGACTGGTGGTACTCAGATATTGCCATATCCTAAAAGTGGTACAATGGGTGAAAAGGTTGAAAAGCCCTGATATAGGTATACCTGTACATGAGTAAATAAATAAAAAGTATACCTTGCATCTTGAACATAACATATTATATAAACACACATTTATATAAAATAAATATTGTGTTTTGTTAATTCAGGCTTAGTATTTAGTATTTTGTATAAAACCAGTGATAGTGTATCAAAATGTTTAGAATAATATTAGTTTTTGTGAAAATCCTACACAAACTTGAAAAGCATTGTAATAGAAAATTCTTCCACTAAACAGAAAGAATAGGATTTTTTTTCGTTTTCTATTATCATTTCAAAATGTTCACATTTTTCATCATAACTGAAAAATTGGTTTGAACTGTTAATTTATAAAGTTCTATCTTTCCTCCAGAGTCATGTTTTCTACTTACAATTACATCTTTTTTGCACAAATCTGAGTTTGCAGGCAGTCCGATATGTTGACAGTCGGATGACATCAAAATTCTGAGCCCCTACAAATTAAAAGCAAAGAGCTTTCTCCACATGTATTTCAATTTTAAAATGAAAAGAGGACTTTAATTACATTATGATGTCCAACTACAACTGCAACTACATTAGAAATGTAATCCTTAAGGAGTTGTAAAGTTTTATCTGGATTGTACTAATTCTTTATCATATTCCACCCTCTCTCATGTGTGTTCAATTTTTCCACCACATAAAAAGTAACCAATGTATGGTTAACTACCATATTAAAAAGAATATTTATTCATGGCATTTTTGCATTTTGCATATATTTTGCATTTATGTGACATCGCATAAGGAGTATGAAACAGTACATTCTAGAATCCAAATTTACCATCAGAGCGAGAAATAAATGTGGAATGGGAAAAGGTAATATAAGGTCGCCACCCTTATTTAAAGACTGAAGCTAGGGCATAAACTCTCAAGAAACAGCACCCTGTTATTTCAATGTAATAATTTTAGGAGAAACAGGATCTGATTACATTCTTTGAAGAGGCTGCAACACATTTTTAAATGAAGTTTCAAACATTTAAGACTTCTACTTACTCATTTCCATGAAGAGCTGTCTTTTCTCTGCCATCGTCCTTCTCCTCTTTCCACTTTCTTCAATCATCCTAAAAACCAATTTAGAATTTTAGCAGGCTGTTTGGAGAGAATTTAAGATACCAAGAAGAAATTCACAAACTCTTTCATTATTCATCTGTTATGGCAGAAAACAGCCAAATAAACAACCAAAAGAAGCCACTTGGGAAATGTAGACTACTATATATTAACTGAGCTGAACTATGCAGAACAGGAAGCAAATACCAGAAGTTCAAAGACATTTCCACACCTCTGTTTTAATAAAGATCCATAATAATTAACTTTCTACCGCAACCACCAGCAAATAAGCTAGAAGAACAGTTAATATACTGTTGGGTTGGGAGATTCAAAAGGGGAAATATGTGCTTCTTCCTACACTGCATTAGAGCACAAGCTTTTCTTTCTATGTCTATTAAATAAAGCCCCCAATAGTGCAATTATAATTTTCATGGTGAGGGTAGTTTTGAAAAAAATATCTTGTGGCTATGAACAGATGGTTGGTCGTTTTAATAATGAAGCCTATTGGCTTCATTATTAAATCAGTTTAAGAAATGAGTTTATCAAGATTAAGGAGTTACATGATATTCCTTAAGTATAGTTAAGAACTTTTTTTTACTATCACATTGATTTTTATAAAAACAAACAAACCAGGAATTCAAAATCACTAGTAACTTTATTTATTTATACATACATACATACATACATACATACATACTGCAAGTAGGCCTCAACTTACAACCACAACTGGGAACAGGCAGTTAACAGGCAAGGCAGTTAAGTGAGCCATGCCCTATTTTAGGACCTTTGTTTGCCAATGTCGTTAAGAGAATCACTGCCGTTAAGTGAATCATGCAATCATTAAGGGAATCCCAGTTCCTCATTGACTTTGCTTGTCAGAAGCAAACGGCAATCACATGACCCGAAAGGCTGCAACAGTTGTGAATGCATGTTGGTGGCCAAGCACTCAAATTTTGATCACAGATGTTGCAATGATGATTGGTGAAAGGACTGGTTGTAAGTCATCTTTTTCAATGCTGTTGTAACTTTGAATGCTGTGGTCCAAATAAATGGCTGTTGTAAACTTAAGGACTACCTGAACAGTTATTCCGAACCAGCGGTATCTGTCCAGGTTCTTCTCAGATATGCCAGTTATGTTTTTGGAATGTTAAATTCTAAAAATATCATTTAACGTTTGTCATCTCATTTCTCTTGTAAGATTATAAATCAGGAAAAATGTGTTGTACATCAAAACAGGAAAGCATGATGCAGAAAAATAGATGCTACGATGGAGAAAAATAGAAAAATGCTCAGAACAGCCATATTATTATTATTACTGATCAACAGGAATGCCAGGTAAAGTCCTAATAAACTCCAGCACTAATAGTTGATTCCAGGCTATGTTTAGAATTTTTCTGGTTTGCTCATTGGTGAAGAATTTAAAAAAGGCAGGGGTAGATATGACCATGCCAAGAACTGCTCATTAAGGCCAATACTACAGGACCTATTTTAACAGGTTTCGCTCTTCTTGGAGCTCATCAGCTGTAGGTAACGGCCTATTTTGCAATATTTTTGAAAAATTCAAAGACACTGATTTAATCCCTAAATCCAAATCCTCCATGTGTTCCAATATGAAATCATACTGCAATGTGAGACAAGCATGCTTTTCGGGATTTAAGCTAGCAGTTGTCTAACATGTCCTAAGAAAAAATTCCTTGTGAGCCTGAAAAAAATTGTGCCTGCTTTAAAATTCATATTAACTTTAATTGGTTCCCTAGAACAGCTCACCTTCCTATTCACACAGAAGCTTTAAAAAAAGGACTTATTGCATTTTTAATAAATTCAGGTAGTCCTCCAGTTACAACCATAATTGAGACCGGAAAGTCTGTTGCTAAATGATGTGGTCATTAAGTGAGTCATCACATAACTGCCTGATTTTACTATCTTTTTTGCTGCAGTCAAAAACATTGACTTTGCTTGTTGGAAATCAGCTGGGAAGGTCACAAATGGTGATCGCATGACTGGTGGCCAAGTGCCCAAATTACAATCATGTGACTGCTGGGACACTGTGATGGTTGTAAGTGCGAGGACCAGTCATAATTCTTTTTTTCAGCACTGTTGTAACTTTGAATGGATACTAAATGTATGGCCATTAAATGAGGACTATCTGTAGCAGTGAGTAGTTGCAGTCACTACCAATTATAAACCAATGCCTATTCCGAACACAATTTGAAATCTACAAAGCTGAACCAGTTTCTGTCCAATATAACTAAAATCCCTCTCCTCACATGTACAGATAGAAATAATTTCCAACATCTTATTTTTTAAAATTTCTATTAGAACAGGCATGTCAAACTCGTGATGTCATGTGACATCGCACGGCATATTGCAACTTTTCCCCCATTGCCAGCAATGGGGTGGGTGTGGTTTCGGCCCGTGGGCCGGCAGTTTGACATGCCTGTACTAGAAGAACTGAATTACATATTGTGAAAAAATATTAGAAATACAGGTCATCAAATGAAGTTGAATGGTGGAAGATTCAAGACAATTGAAGTGCTTTTTCACACAGTATATAGTACGGGAACAATTGCGAATACATAGGCAAATTCATGAAATGAAAGGTTACAAAGATAGCTATTAGACATGATTTCCTTTGTGATTAGAGGTGCTATAACTTCAAGGATCAGCTGATGGGGTACCTAAATGAAAGGCTACCATAGTCTGCATGTCCTAAATGTGAATAGGATTACTGGATTTCTTACCCCAGTGTTGAATCAACCTCCTCCCAAACATATTGAATAGTATGCAGTACAATAGGACAGGAGATTATTTTGAAGTCCAGTGAAGCATGCTTTCATTTTCTATACTATAAACTATTTCTACAGTAGTGGCCAAAATTGTGGAAACCTTTTGGGAAAAGTGTATTTTTGAGGTTTGATGGCTAATAACACCCCTTTTTTTGGAGCAGCATCATAAAATTATATATCAATGGAAAGATAATTTAATCAAGAAGGTAATGCACAAAGTTTGTTCAATTATCTGTACTGTATTCTATGAAAAGTTATAGCCAGACAACCAGAAAAAGGAAGCACAACAAGGCTCAGGTTGATATCAGATAGCTTTTCTTCATTTGACTGTAGCCAATGAGCATGAGTGTTTAGAGAGTCAATCAGGTGTCATCTTGTTTTGGCAATGAGCCAATCAGATCACAGTAGGATTCAGTTACTGATGTCATGTATTAAAGCTGAGAGGAGGACATTTGTCAGTGTGTTATGTGATCGCTATCAAGTTGGTTGGGTTTTTTTGTGTTCTTTCATTTAGTGACCTTGTAAAATGTAATAAAATTAAAGTAATGGTGCAAAGAGTTGACTGGTTGCCCAGAAAGCTAAGTAAAATAGTATTATTAAGTGAACAAGGCTACAGTTATAAAGAAATTAAAAGAAAAATTGGTGGAAACTTAACCAAAGGTGGCATTTCTACTGTACACTTTTCCCAAAAGGTTTCCACAATTTTGGCCATTACTGTATGTCTGGCTCTTATGTATTTCTTCCTATTTCCCAAGCAGCAAAATAATAATAATAATGAAATATATGCAGCTGAGTTTTCCTTTAACAGCTTGCAGCTCTATCTGCAAATCACCCTGTACATTTTGAACTAAATAGCAGAATATGCATTTTGTAAACTAACATTTAAACTAATAGTTCAATCTTTAAAAAAAATTCAAGTCATAAAACATGGCTTCAAATTTTGATTTACAATAAGAAAAAGAAGCAGTAGATCCTGGCTTGGACAAATCTTGGAGCTTTGATGCTATTAAAACTGTATTTCTGTTGTCTTGTCCCAGACAAATACAAATGCATTTGATTCTTTTTAAGGTTGTTTATTTGTTTTAGAACAGCAAAAGATTTACTCCATGTAGGACAGCGGTTCTCAACGTTTGTGTGACGGCGACCCCCGTCACAGAAACGTTATGCGCATGCGGGGGGCGGCGCGCATGCGCGGCGGCACCCCCTTGCGCGGCACCACCGCCGGAGGGGAGAAAATGGCGGATCGCCGCCTTTGGCGACCCCCGGAAAATGGTCGATCAACCCCAAATGGGGTCGCGACCCATAGGTGAGAACCGCTGATGTAGGATGTATTATCTTAATTATATCTTCTGATATAGAACACTAGCTACTACATGACTAAATTGCTTTTTTAAAATAAATTTTACAATACTCTAAGTACAGTTTACCATTTATTCTCCTACACAACCTGTAAGTTGAGAATTACACTTTAGTTGACATCATAACTATTCACTTTTATAAAACTACTACTGTACACTTTTCTTCCCACAAATATATAAAAAAGACCAAATTACTCCTATTTCAAACTAGTTAACAGTGATGGAAGCTGATAGTTTATTTTTAGATGGTATTCACCCATGCATTTGCTCTTGAGAGACAGTTTGGTATAATAGTTAAGGCTAGAAACCAGGAGAATGTGAGTTCTACTGCCTTGGGCACAAAACCAGCTGGGTGACTTTGGGCCAGTCACTCTCGCTCAGCCCTCGGAAGGAGGCAATGGAAAGCCACTTCTGAAAAACCTTGCCAAGCAAAATTCAGGGATTTGTCCAGGCCAGTGGTGGTGAACTTATGGCATGGGTGTCAGAGGCGGCACTCAGAGCCCCCTCTGTGGGCACACACGCCGTCGCCCCAGTCCTAGGCCTTCGGCTGGGTTTTATAAAATCTTTTCGCTTTAGGCCTCCATCGCCATGTGCAAAAAAAAAAAAAAAAAGGTTAAATCAGTCAATTTCAACTTCTTGTGGGAAAAAAAAAATCTTGCAAAGTTGTAATTGATTGATTGAATTTTTTAGTCCCACCCAGTCTGCTGTTACCACTGCAGCCACACCCACCCAATGGGCCACACCCACCCGGCACTCAATGATGCATAAGTGGGTTTTGGGTTGCAGTTTGGGCACTCAATCTCTAAAAGGTTTGCTATCACTGGTCCAGGCAGTCTCTGAGAGTTGAGTATGATTGAACAGAACGGAAAA